AATGGAGAAGGTGGGATTAGTTGTTTTTTTTGGGACAAACTCTTCTCCAAAGTAGAAAAGAAAGTGCCTCATCCAAGGTGATTTTTGTATCCCTCTTTTCCAGGGCTCTACAAGGGTCTTTCCATTCTGAAACGCACCAATGAGTTCAGCTGCCTCCTCTTCATCCTGGACGTGATACGGTGCCTGGAAGCCACTTTGGCGTGAGAAGAAGGCTGGGAACTCCCTTGACTCCCCAAAGGCAGACACGCAGACTCCCTGAGTCTCCTGCAGCAGTGAAGGAGAGACAAACAGGCAATCAGTGGAGAGAAAGGGGATCCAGCAAAAGAATGAAGCTTTTTCCTTCTACCCAGCTAGAAACTGCCTTTCTTTAGCACAGGTTTTCATTATTTTTAACCATCTCATTCTATTCCATTCTATTAGCAACATTTTTCAAAGCAAAGAGCCAGACATGGTAAGTGGTACAACAGAATCTGGCTTACTGAGACATAGGAGTCATTCATGTCCTGTGCTTGTGCTCAAAGCTGATCAAAAGCCATACAGCTGTCATTAGCACAGTACTGAGTCCAAGATAAAAACCTGTGACCTGAAGATATGTCATGAGCTGTCAGGAATATAAATCAGTTCTGTTTGCAATTGAGAAGTATTGACGTTTGCTGTCAACTGAAGTGCTGGTCCTGGTGGTTTCCAATGCACCAAACCTTAAAAAGGTACTTCACTGGAAATTAACTTGATTCTCATTTTAATTTCTGATTTTTATTTTATTGTTTGATGGATCTAGCTTGCCCAATCCATTAGTTCTGGGGTGTTCTCCTAGAAAAGCAAGTCTAAAGCCAGAGAAACTGGGTGTGGCTTGTGTTGCCTTTGGAATAGCTGTGGGAATGGCCCCTTGGTCATAGATAGATTTATGTTAGGGGGCAGCCCAGTGCTTGTATAGACCCAGCACTAGAGAACTGTAAATGTGGCTTCATGTCCTTTCAACGGTCATTTCAAAAAATCTTTGGCGTAATACCTGCACCAACACTACTGGGCATTCTGTACACAGTATACAACATCATCTGCTTTCAGGCTTAGTGGCCAAAGTTACCTACCAGATACTCCAGTGTCCTGCCAATATCGAGGATAGACTTGACTCCTGCAGATACAACAGCAACCGGAGTTCGTCCTAGCTCTGTCAAGTCAGCACTCACATCCAGAGCTGTCAAAGAACAAGCAGCCGTTGTGTGGGTGATTGTGTTGGACTCCAAGCTGATGTGATCTGCCCTCTTAAAAAAGCCATGTCTGCCTGGGATGCCACTGCCTGCTTTTGTAAACACTTAGATCCACAAACATATATTACAGGCTCAGATCATGCCTTCAGGTGTTGAGACTGAAAGACATCCTGACAAAAAGAAGTCACATGGCTTAGGGCAGTGGTACAGCCTTACACTGTATCTCCTGGCTCTTTGATCGCATTGATGAACAGCATGCAAAAACTTAGTAAAAAAAGAAAGAAGAAGGTGTTATAAAACAATGACAAAGTTTGAGGAGACAGAATCTAATTTAAGTAGATTTTGATTTTGGTATTGACATCACTGGCAAAAAAAAAAAAAAAAAAAAAAAAAAAACACCACAGGAGCTTTGCTGAGCTCGGGAGACTCTCTGGTCTGGGAATTTACATCACATCTGAAAGGGATAGTGTTCAGCAAGCCACTGTGCTTGTACTATGCTAGAAATATACATGGCTAAGAAGAGAGAATGTACTTAAAGGTCAAAACTACGCTGCCAAGGCTGGGTCATTTTCCAGAGAGGAGCACACACCTCTAACATGGACCAGGGCCCAAGGTTCTTCTGTGGTGAGACTCTTCTCCTCAGCTGAGAGTCAATAACAGCACTGTGCTCTGCAGCCAGTATCAGTTTATCCAGCCATTACAAACTGGGAGAGGTACAGACAGCTCCTGTTGCACCAGCAAACAATAGCCATAGAACCCTGTGTAAGCAAAGGATAAACTCCTACCCTCTTAACAACTGGCCAGTGCTCAAGACAAACATTCTGAAGCTTCTGGAAAGGAGATATTGGGGAGAAAATAACCATAGCATGCTCAAGTAGAATGATAACTACTCTTTTGAGCAGCCAGTTACTTCAGTAGAGACTGGGAAAAAGGAAAGGATGGAATTAAATAAAACAGTAGCAACATAGAGAAAACTAGAACATATTCGTTTTCTTACTGCTCTCTCCTCCCCAGTGGACACCTCCTATGCCTCCCGTCACAAGCACGGGGATTCCTGCTTTGTGTGCAGCAATCATTGTTCCGGACACCGTAGTGCCACCAGACAAGCCCTGTCAGGAGACAACCAGTTGTGGTCAGCACCAAGGTGGCTCAGAGAATACCACATTGTGATGGTTTGAGATTCCTGTTTTTTCCTGGTGGGTGGAGCTCTGAAATCTAAAGGGAGGAGTATGTGCTAGCTTGGGCTATGCGCAGCTCTACCCCCAGGGGCAGGCTGGAATGAGAAGAGGCAGAGACCTGCTCTATTCCCACTCCCCCCTTCCTGTCTTCGAGACTTCCTGGTGAGCTCTATAAAAAGGGGGGTGGGGAGGATATCTCCCTCTCACTCTCTCTGCTGGGACCTCCAGCCAGACACACACTGTTTTGTTTCTGCTGTGGCTCCCTGTTCTGGAACGTGGCAATGGCCATCTTGGGATTTGGGCCTGTTCTCCAGACTCATCCCCCACCTTCATCCACACCTAAGGACTGTTCATCCAGATTCAATCCACATCACTCCATCAAGATACAGTACAAGGGAGCTTCAACACAGCGCTTGGTTTTGTATTTTTGGAAGTTTATTCCTCCTTATTTTTTTACACCTATAATCTCTTTACCCTGTTAATCCCTACTCTTCTTCCTTTCTGTTCCCTGATAAATAATACATTTGATTTTTAATTAACTTTCAATCAGTGCAAAGCCTTTATTAGCCCTGCCTTCCTTTTTTTATCTCTTCATCTGGGAAAAACTGAGGGATAGGGAGTGTGGAACACAATTCTGCCCTCTACACAGAGACATACATGCAGGCGGCCGTGGTTGTGGTCTGTGGCTACAGCACTGTCAGAACAGCCTGCTGCCACCAGCTGAGGAGTGAAACTGATACCAATATTCTGTTAGGCAGAGCTGCAGAGTAATCACTGTCCCTGCTCTGTAAGCTGTTCTTGCCCTGATAACAGCAAAGGCCTTCATTCTCCAGGGCTCTCCAACCAGAAGGCTTCACAGGCAGCTAGTGTCATCTTAAGTACTGTGTGCATGACTTGAGATGGTCTGTGTGTCATGTCATTTACATGTCACATGATGATGCCTTATCCTGTCAAGTGAGGCAATATTCTTATCTAAGTGCTCAGGTCTTGACAGGCAATCCAGAGTGACTTTTCAGGAGCTCTATTCCATTGTTGCTTTTCCTTTTCTCTGTTATATTTTGATTCTAGATAGGACCACATTTGACCTTACCAATAAGACACCACTTTACATGATCTTTTCAAGACATTTAAAAGCCACCTGGCTTGAAGCTGGAGAGCATTATACTATTGCTGTATAGAAACACCACAACAGAAAGTCTGCATACCATACCTGGCTGAGGACATAAGGAAGATCTCTCCGAGACACTTTAACTACATTTTTACTGCTTGCCAAGAACTCAAGTTCCTCATTTGTGAGTCCCACGTGGATTTGACCCCTTAAAATACCTATAGTGGCTGGCACTGCTCCGTTTGTTGTTACAATTTCTTCCACCTCTCTGGCCATGCTAGAATAACACAATCATGACAGCAATCAAAAAATTAGTGAGGCAAACAATCAGACAAGAAAGCTGCCATATTTGATGGCTGTTCTTCCCAGTTTCTAGTTTTACACAGTTCATATGATTTCAGCTAAGTCCAGTTCCTCTTCTGTATCTTCTTAATGGCAGAAGTCTGTGCACTTGAATTTGCAGAATTGCAGAGCTCCCATTTTGAGGACAAGCTCTGTGCTTCATTTCTGAGAAAAATCACTTCTTTTACAGGCAAATTTGATTGTCCAACTGACTACTGAATATAGGGATCCTCTCAAAAGAGGATTTTTCTGTATCTATTACCCGTTACTTCTCTGAGATACTAGAACTTCACAGCAGCTGCAGGTAAATCAAGCCCTGCTCGATGATTTATTTCTCCCAGTACAGGCAATTAGATACAAAGTACCAACAGTGCTGAAAAGCCGCAGCCCGAGATTACACTCTGGGTAAGCTCTGCAGGTTTTATACTTTATCACTCATAGGCTATCCTTTTTAAGAGCAGTTTCTCCTCCCTTTCTGAGCTATGTGTACATATGCTAGGCAGTCTTTTAACTACTGAAACTACCTCCTCCCCAAAACCGAATTGTTAAAGCTTCATTCCAAGGCAGAATGTCAGTCAAAGTAATGGCCAGGTTAAAAGCATGATGGAAAAATCAATACTGAAACCTTCCTGTGCTTTCTGGAAGCAAGGATGGAGAGAAGAGTGCAATGATTTATGGTACTGTAACCCAATGAAACACGAATCTACTGAACATTAATAAATAAAGGGTAGAGGTAGGTTTTTTCTATGCAGGGCACAGAAGGTAAGGAGGCACCAAGAGCTCTCACAGTAGCCACTTTGAGTGACACTAAGGAACAGATTTCACTATTGTGCTTCATTCTTTTTGCATTACAAAAGGCATACCAAAAGGAACTGCAGTGTTTTCCATGTCCACACAAACTATGCATCCGAAAGCACTGGTAGCTCTGCCTTAGAGCAAGTGATGATATTATCTGCTGCCACATTTTTAAAGGAGGCCAGAAGCGTGTTGGATAAGGGACCCGGTATGTCATAAGGTTCTGCTCTCTTAAGAAGTCCAGACAGAATTGGTTTACACCAGAGTTCATACTCTGCATGCCTAGCAACCTGGCATTTCCTTTTGCTCTTACAAGGGTTTTGGCCTCACCGAGACTACTGATACCAAGCCCCCAGTTATATGCCTCATTGTTACAACTTCACTGAATGAGGAACATCCAAATCCATCACCTCAGATTCTGAGGATAGGGCATGCCATGTGTAATGATGGTGCTTTCCAAGGCTACAACTGGTCTTCCCTCCATCAGGGCTTCCTGTACAGAGGGTTGAATCTTGAAATAAGCACCTGAGGATAAACATAAAAAATTGAATTATTTGTGTGGGTATCTGCAGTAACTACCGATCTGTTTTATAAACAGCAAATTGTCATCACCACAATAAATTTATTTCCCTCCTCAGCTGTTCTTTGCAGTGAATTCACAAATAACTTCAGGAATACTAAAGTTGAGTTTTATGTGAGTGAAAGATTTGCAAAATATCTCTACTGTTACTATGAATAATAGTCCTCAGTATCATCACTGAGCGCTCCTCTGCCACCGTTTTTGCAGCTGGCTTGTCATTTGCTTCAGTAACATTACTGTGAACAGAGTGAGCCCTGCAAGCATGCCTGAGGAATGTGTTTTAAAAGAGTGGAAGCATCAAGCATAAGGTAGTACTCAATGTATTATACAACTGTTGTGCATCAAGACTGTTGCTGCTCTTCGCTCCCAGAAAATGGCCAGCAACTGTATTCGGATGAGGAAAATGTTTTTCACCCAGGAAGTGTTTCAGAATACACTACTTACCATGCAGAAATCTTCTCACCTGGGTAGTTCCACATGCCACAGCAGAGACATGTCTTGCCAGGCTACAGGTTGTTTTCCTAATCATCTTGTGCATATGGATGGTCCTGAGATAACAAAAGTTAGGTACAAGTGAAAGGAGTAATTTAGCAACGATGTGGCCATGTGAAGCTAAACACATCACCTCTTGCCTTGCTCTTAGAAGGTAAACAACCCTTGCCCAGGAGATTGCCTGGAGACATTTGGTATTTCAAGCATGAACTAGAATGCAAAACGTTATGAACTCGAAGCAAAACGTTAGGCTGCAGAAATGGAGTTGGAAGAGTTCTCCTGGCTCATTGTCAATGCTGGGCTTAAATCATGGTGGAGTAGAGGAAAGGGTGACCGCGAACGAACTACAGAGCGTTTAGAAGTAGGCAACCTTTTAATTTCCAAAACTACTTGCTCATGATAAATTGCAGGCTTGGTGACTGCCACATCCAACCTGAAAGATCACAGGGAGAAATACACAAGGTGGTCGCGGGCAGAGAAATGCTATAAAGAAGAGATGAACCTGTCTTTTGCTGGTGTCTAGGAGGAAACAAGCAGTTCAATAAAATAAAGTAACTGAGAAGTGGTAAATCAGGCTGTAACTACAAGAAGGAAAGAGGGGCTTTCCACAGAGCCAGGAGCGCTTTATGTAGGCTCAAGTTACACCATCCTTCTTAGCACAAAGCCTTGGAAGCAGAGTGGCAATTCAGCCCCGGCAACAAACTCCAGACCTCCTCTGGTCTCTTAGCAACTCCTATTCACTTCAACTCAATTCATTTCCAAACAGAGAAAGGGGTTTTGGGGGGAGAATTGTAAAGAGAATTGAGAGACTGGTCTGGGCCTCGGGGCAGCTTCACTCAATGCCTGGATGCTTCACATATTTTCTCTGGGCATTTGGCCATATCTCTCAAGCCTTTCTATTCCTCACCCCTTCAACAGGCGGAAAGGATTTCTTCAGTCCTTTGTACCTATTGTTAATTTAGATGGCAAATTTTTTTTAATACAGTACTGTGTTCACGTTACGCTTAGCAGAACATGGTTCTGATCTCAGTACTGTGCGGCACTACAGCTATACAGAAACATAGCAAGGGAGATTATTTTTGCCCAAAACTAAACACTTCAGCTATACAGGACAGCTTAGGCTGTGTAACTCAGGAAAAGAGGGACCAGTTCTGCTAGACATCTCTCAAGCCATCAAGACAGACATTGTCATAAAAAGCAATGTATACCTGACCTAAACTGTTAACATTTTTTTTTTCACTTTCCAAAACCTTTAAAGGCAAAAATATTAACAAAGTTTATGGAATTGTTGTCCCAAAACGAGGTTCTTTACCCAGTGTGCAAAATCCACTCAACACACAGAGTCGACATTTTTGCTTTTATTCCAGTTCTGCACAGAAACACGTCTCATCAGGTGATAATTCACAAAGCCAGCGTATCTCTGGGACATAAAAGCCAGGTCTTATATACAAAATATTAACAAAGAAGAAACTACAATAAGGAAAATGTTCAGTCAGTCAGTTTGTCACTCCTAACTTTACATATGAAGACAGGAACCCAGCATTCCCTAATCTTGAGGCTCCTGCTACCTTTCAGGACCATCTGGTGCTTACGCAGGTGCGATAGAACTCCTGGCCCTGCACGGGAGCTCTGGAACCTTTGTTAATCTTTTTCCTTTTGACAACACCTTGGGTCTGCCCGAGGGGTAGGACATTCCCATTGTAATTAGCTATGGAAAGGAGAACAGTTTAGCAATACTTATGTTAGCTCTTCCTTTTGCAAGACTCTGCCTCCTTTTCAGCATAATGTCCCAATTTCCCCCTTAAGGGCTTATCTTGCGAAAGATCTCTTTGTCAGCCTTCCAGCAGAATCATATCATGACACAAAAGTGGTAAGAGCTCTTACTCCCGTAAGAGGAACTCCTCCAGCAGCCTGAGCCGTTCATGCAAATGTTCTAGTATCACCCTGTATGTGTGTACACACCCTTTGCTCTCTGGGGCAAAGTCAGCTTTGGAATAAATTAATTAAGCCAACAATTCTCTGCGAAAGATCAGTTGAGCTGCTTGGGTTATGCTCTGAATTTTAACAAGCTCCCAAACTCTGGAGTGCCCAAGCTGTGCCGGCCGGTGGATAAAAACCAGCTGGTCACCACCTGAAACCGAATATGCCTTAGCCGGTGTTCTCTGGAAGCTCAGCCAACGCCTCAGCCTGAACCGGCTGAAAGATTTTTGAAACTCGGCAAGTTTTGCAGCGAGACCCATCCGACCTTTTGCCTCGCAGTGAAACTCTGCAGACTGGTGGCGCAGGTTGCAGGCGCTCTGGCCCAGAGCAGCGTTCCTCCCCACCCCAAGCGTCCCTCCTCGCCTCCCTCGGGGCCGACCTGGCGCCTCGCACCGTGGGGC